GTAAGCAGCTAGACTTAACGTTCGGTGGTTGGTTCTAAAATGTTGCGCGAGTCCCATATTTCCTTGCACGATTGTATTCCGGCATCATGAGGTATGTTGGTATACAATGAGGTGACATCCAAAGTGACAAGGAGAGTTTCTGGAGGAAGAGGGAACATGGATTCCATTTTCCGAAGGTTATCTGTGGTGTCTTGAATGTGAGAAGGAAGATTATCTACATGAGATCTTAAATAGAAGTCTACGAGTTCCGAGATGTTCTCAGTCGGGTGGCCGTTTGCGGATACAATGGGTCTTCCAGGGTTGTTAACCTTGTGTATTTTGGGAAGAAGATACAATCGACCAAGCTTGGCGTTCTCTGGTTTTAAATATCCGATTGTATCCTCATCTATGTGACCGTCATTGTGCATGGTTTGTAACGCAGTAATAATTTAGAACTAAACTCGGAAGTAGGGTCATGGTCAAGTTTCTTATAAAATCTCTCATCAGAGAGCTGACGCTCCGCTTCCGCGATGTAGCTAGCTCTGTCCATTATCACAACGGCACTTTCTGTGTCTGCTGGTTTTATCACAATATCATCTCGGTTTCTGAGCGATTGTATGGCTGTTTTCTCGTCAGAAGAGGTGTTATAAAACGACGAGTACTTGTTGTTAGATAGATGAACAACATCCGAATTGATTTTGTCGATAACTTCTTCCAGTGTAGCAGATTTGCTTGGTTTTGGAATGCATGGACTCTTCTTTTTAAAGCGCGGAATTCTGATTTCTTCCTCCGAGTCAGAACTGTGGAGTCTTCCTCGGTGTCCTTTGGTTTGTCACCAAAGTATTCTTTAATTCTGAGGGTTCTGGCAAATTTATTCAGGTCATCCTCCAGTTTCATATTATCTATGTTACTGGGCGTAGGGCAAAACTTTAAACCCTTAGATAAAACTTTAATTTCATCCTCAGTTAAAGAGACTGTTGACAAATTGACAATCGTGTTGTTGGTATTGACCGGAGTTTGACCTTTTCTATGAAATCTACGGTTGCGAGGCTTTTTAGTTTTAGTTGGAGAAAAGTCAAACAGATTTTTTCATAGATGGAATAATATTCTGTACAACTGTTCCTTTAGTCTGATGGATCTTTTACATCAAGAAGCAATTCATCAAGTTAATAATTTATACAAACTAAGTGATAACTTGCACTGCCGATCTTGTGACCAATTGTCTGATCTTGAACTTGACGAAATTCAAGTACGCCTTAGTGATATCAAACGTATTGAATCACATAAGCTTCACGTCAAGCAGATAAGCAAATTTAAACGTGGTGGTGTGCAAATTAACCACCTTTAAACAGACCTTCAAATTCAACTAAAAAGCCTCGCAACCGTGAATTTCATAGAAAAGGTTAAGGATAGTTTCCCCAAAGGGCATTAATGAAAAAAACATAGAATGAGTCCCTACCATCACTTGTTTCCTGTAACTCAGGCTTCAGTACAGAACTCTTACAGTTTTAAGGAATTTATTCCTCCTCTCAAACATCAATATTGAAAAAATCTACCAGCGTATTGATCATGATAATTTGTATAACGATCAAGATTATGATTTCAGTTTGACTACCACATGTCAAGATCAGAATCATTTGACATCTTACTGATGAAGGATATTAGTTATCGGAAATATTTAACATTTGTTTATGATTTTACTTTTTTTGGTGATGTTGTACTCTTTTATACTTGCTTATTATATATTTATATATATATATATATATTTATATAAGTCTAGAGATTTGCACAACGATACTTATATAAGATGGTATTATACGAAGATGTTGTTATTAAATCGTGTTGACAAATATTTCGGCTTAACAAATAGCCTTCTTCAGTGTCAATTATTTTAACAATACTGATTATATGTATAAAAATAGCTCAATAATACAGGTAAGTTTTGGTCTATTGATTTAATCCAAAATCCTGAACATCATAATATAAAACAAAACTCAATACTCAAATATACGTGACTGTGTATATTTACATCCCAAAATGAGTGAAAAATAAAACTTAGTATTTTTTATTGATGCCGTTTGGATGATGTACATTTAGTTCCTTTATCCAAAAGCTTTCCCGAATCTGTCGCTGGGCATCACTCCAGTAAATGTTCATTTCAATCACTAGGATCTTCATGCGGTTAAAGTCATCAAGTTTGTGACCAGACTGTCTGAAATGCTGAGAAACAGGGAGAAGTGGCTTCTGAGAGAAATCACTCCTATGGCCATTGAGGCGTTTGTGGAAAGGCTGCTTTGACTCACCAACATATTGGAGGCCACAAACCGAACATTCTAGAATGTAAATAACATTCATACTTTTGCAGTTAACATTGCAAAATATCCTATAGTTATTTTCGGTTGCCTTACTGTGAAAAGTTGATGAGTGATGCATCTGTAGGCAGCATTTGCAGCGTTTTTCATCACACGAACAACATTCTCCAGAAGTACTTCTATTATCAGACACTTCAGCCCGCACCAGCAGGTTCCGCAGACTATTGGGTTGCCTAAAAGCTATCATGGGAGGCTCGGGGAAAATCTTGGATAGTTTGGAATTCTTTTCAACTGTTTTCCAATGCTCACGAATGACACCGAAACTGTTTTTGAGAGATGGGTGGTAAGTAAGAATACATGGAGTCCTTTTATTTTTCTTTTTATATTTGTATTCTAACAGTTTACTCCTTGGAATATTTATATATATAATTCGTCTAAACAACAGTCCAACAATGTTAGATCTGTAAATTTGCGGAAGCAAATTTTTTGTTCTTCCCTGGCCGGTATTCGTACTCATGCTAGTGAGATATCGTGGCACCAAATCGCCTTGCACTATGCCCGACGCGCTAGACCATCCGACCACCTAGGCTCTATAATAATAAATCTTTCGGTGGCCGGGTGTTACCTTTCCTCGTCAGTTTTTATCTAGCGTCGTAACACAGTACATGATATATAAGGCATGAAGATGGAATTGTTACAGATCAGCTGAATTATCTATTGTAAAGGATCCTACAAATTAATGTAAGATGCAGTCACAGAAATAATAATAATATATATATATATAAGTTCCTAAGAATATAACTTTAACACACTAATGAGTGTTATAAAATAAGTTGTTATATTTTATATTATTCACGCTATATTTCTCTAAACAAATAAGCTTCATCAGGCGCGTGCAGCCAACCAGGTAAAAGTTAGAGGTTGTAAAATTTTTGCAGCTCAATGTTAAATGTCTAGAAAAATATTTTTGCCGCTTATTGTACATAGCAATTCTTAACTCAAAACAAATAGTTGTTTTAGTTAAATAGAATGAAATTCAGGATTTATTCCTTTGGTTTTGGGTAGAACTGTTTTTCATATCTCTCATTGAATGTTGATTGTTGCTAATTTTAGACATTATATATATATATATATATAAATATTAAATTATATATTAAATATTTCTTTTTAAAATCTAATAGAACTTTTTAATGTATTAATTAGCGTGTTTAAGTTATATTCTTAAATATTTATATAATTTCAATTCAGTAACTGTATCAGTTTATTTTCACAAACTGATCCACGCCTAAATAGATTGGATGTTGATTGTTGCTATTTTAAAACATTTTATATATATATAAACAAGTCGAAATTGAAAACAACGTTCAAACCTATGATTGCGTTGGATAAAAACCGCAATTTGTATACGTGTGCATGCAAAACCAATTTCTTGGTAGAGGGGTCTAAATACAGCACGTCAAACAACATTTTCCAAAAGACCAAAAAGGTGAAAAAGTATATTTTAACAAAACGCATTTGACTAACAGGTTGAACAACAAATGTTCTTAAACCCTACTGACTGCCATTGGCGATTGCCAAATAAACGGATCAACGTTAATTAACGATGTAATAAATGGATCTTAATTATAAATTTAATACTAAACAGAAAACAATAAACTTGCGGAAAAGATGGTTTACCGCAAACAAAAGGTGCAAAGGTTTTTGTACACTATATCCGGATTTCGACAATTAATGTCTCTTCAGTGATGTTAGGAATCGAAACGGTATTTGGAAAGCCATACAATTTACCTCAATTTAGGATAGACTCTTGAATTTTGAGGAGTCAAAATAGGATGAATGGATCATATAATCCCGAAGGCAAATATAATACAAGCCCAAACGAAAAAATATAAACAAGTCTATATTGAAAACAACCTTCAAACCTATGATTGTCTTGGATAACAACCGCAATGTATACGTGTGTATGCAAAACAAATTTCTTGTTAGAGGGGTCTAAATACAGCACAAACAACATTTTCCAAAAGACCAAAAAAGTGAAAAAGTATATTTTAACAAAACGCATTTGACTAACAGGTCGAACAACAAATGTTCTTTAACCCTGCTGACTGCCATTGGCGATTGCCAAATAAACGGATCAACGTTAATTAACGATGTAATAAATGGATCTTAATTATAAATTTAATACTAAACAGAAAACAATAAACTTGCGGAAAAGATGGTATACCGCAAACAAAAGGTGCAAAGGTTTTTGTACACTATATCCGGATTTCGACAATTAATGTCTCTTCAGTGATGTTAGGAATCGAAACGGTATTTGGAAAGCCATACAATTTACCTCAATTTAGGATAGACTCTTGAATTTTGAGGAGTCAAAATAGGATGAACGGATCATATAAACCCGAAGGCAAATATAATACAAGCCCAAACGAAAAAATATAAACAAGTCTAAATTGAAAACAACCTTCAAACCTATGATTGTCTTGGATAAAAACCGCAATGTATACGTATGCATGCAAAACAATTTCTTGTTAGAGGGGTCTAAATACAGCACGTCAAACAACATTTTCCAAAAGACCAAAAAGGTGAAAAAGTATATTTTAACAAAACGCAAAATGTTCTTAAACCCGGCTAATCTTAATTATAAATTTAATACTTAACAGAAAACAATAAAAATATATATATAAGTTTATTCATGCATTAAATACTAACCTTTGACGTTAGTTTTCCACATTTATCAGGCTTAAGAATGCATAAGGTAACGATAAGCTTGCACTCAATAACATCCTTCTCTTCAATAAAATCACCCAAAATACCCTTTACTGAAAACTGGCCGTTGTTCGTTCGAATATGTTCCTCAACACCTCTATCGCATACAACACGTATACATGGCATCTGTAAGATCACCGAAGGAAAACTTCCATTCACCTTTGGAAAATCCTGTAATCTTCGTTGTAGAAGATTTAATCTAGGAAATGCGTCAGAATCATATCTGAATGCTAAAAAAGATGAAACAGTATTTTCATAAAACAATGTGTATTAAGATAACCTGACCATGTTTTAATTTTTGTTTGTGGATATTGAATCAATGAAATGACGATAAATTTCCACTTGTTACATATGATGCACATAACCCAAGTCCGAATCATCGTAAACGGTCGCTTTTTAGGGAGTATTGTATTGTGTTTTGTTATGGCGAAGATGGCAAATCTTTCAAAAGCTTTGCTTAATTGACTACTTTTAGACTGTAGATGATTCAGACCCAGACCTTTTATTTAGACACTTATTGCATATTAACCGTACGATGTCTCTTATCTTTTTTTGTTATTTGGGTTGCTGTCTCATTGACACTGATTTTCTCCAATTCATATATATATTACACTTCACTTTACACGTCCTTATTCAAGATCTTAATAAGATTATCATGATTATAAGAGTTTATATTGCCAATCATTTATTGTTTTATAATAATATAGGGGTTGGGTAATAATTACTATTCTGTCGCTTTAATTTCTCTAATCACCTTCTTTTTGGTGAGTATTGGAATGACGTTCTAACATGAAGTTAAACTTACTTTGACATTTAATTCCACTCATATTTCTAGTTATCAAATTTGACCTGTTTTACTCCTGAAAAAAAAAAAAAAAAAAAAACTGTTGAAAAAGTTCGGATTGTCAAGATCTGCTTTTGTAACATTGGTTCGATTTGATTGTTTGCTCGTTCTAAAAGTATTACCGATGACTTCATATCGTAGATTTTGTTATGTTACTCAAAAACCGTATGGTCTTCTTGACTTTTCATTCTTAGACTTTTAATGAATTGGTATATTTTGATTAAAATATAAAAATAAAAAGATGTGGAACGATTTCCACTGAGTCAACTTTCTAACAGAGACCAAATGACGTTTAAATAAGAAACTACATGTCACCGTACGGCCTTTAACGTAAAGCTATTTCCTCACTAAGCTTTTATGGAAATTCAATCTCTGTCTACGGTTGCAGAAAGAAGGAGCATAAAATAGACATCTTTGACTCTGTCACGTTTTTCCTTGGTAACATGACTTTTACATATTAGACCTATTTACATATACATTGTGGACATTGTAAGAAAAACAGAAAAACTAAATGGCGAGAAGTAATTGACTTTATCGCCACACTTTTGTTTTCTCTTGATACAAAAGCCATGACCAACAAAATTCCCACTTAATTTCCTGAAAAGTTGTAAGTCGGTATACATTGTTAACAACAAAACTTTAAGTTGCTTAAGCCTTCTACTATCATCTCTACTATTGAACACCTTAACACATGACCTTAATAATCATTCTATTTCAATATTAGACATGGTGAATGAAGCATTAGGTCTACAAATATGATATAATTTATATACTAGAGGAAGTGAACCCCACAAAATATAAACTGCAAATTTTAAAATTTCTAAGACAAGCCCAGAGCCCTGACGCAAGCCCAAACATACTTTGATTATTTAAAAAAATAAAAGATCAACAAAAGGAAAACCATTATGATAAAGAATTTAAGACAGTTACGGAGGAATTGCTGATACAAAATAGATAGCCGCAGATAAGGCAATGAAATAATCGATGCTTTGCTAAGGAACCCCAGCCCTAACAAAAAAAGTGTAAAGAAAATAAAAGATGCATAGTAGTTTTATACGATGACGACTGCAAGAACGTTTCATTGTATTTTGACATGTTTTTTAGGTTAATAGGTAGCTAAAATATGAACTGTATTTTTTGGTTGTGATAAAGTTAATGCAATGCCAAAGTTAACGCTAAATCGTTCGGTTGAAGAAATGAAATATGTGTGCACATCATGTTAGAACAAAACAGAAAAATTTCACAACATAATTCTAAGGGTTACAGGGGCAGTGTATGGATACAATTGTTGAACTTTATAACGAAACAACATACGTACGCACAGACGAAACAACGGACTTTCAAATCATGGTATACCATCCGCCGCAGTAAGCGGAAACATAACCATTTCAATTCGTACTACTCACATAATTACTTTTGTGTCCCCTTACTAATAATTAAATTTTTGATGTAACACGTCTTCTGATTAGCTGACAGTTTTTTGTCTATCAGCTCATAGACATAATTTTATCATGTGACCGTGAACTCATCAACGTTTTTTCATGATTTACTCCTGAAAAATGTAGAATTAAATTATAAGACTGTAATATTTTTTTTGTCTATTCGAAATAACCTCACAAATGTGGTGCACACTTTTTAAAAACAAGCTACGCGGGTTATTCAGTGTGCACCACTTTTTGATGCTATTTCTTCATAGACCGAAAAAATATTAAAGTAATTCCTTAAGTATTCGGTTTCACCATCTGACGTATAACAATATTTGATTATATAGACTCAGTGATATTGAAAAACACCTTCATAAATACAAAAGAAGTAGTTTGCCTCGTTATAAGTCAGACTAAGAGGAATATTGGGCCGATTTTTAAGTTTTATCAAATCATATTAAGTTTGGTTATTCGACTGTATACAGTGAAGAAACGTAAAAGAATGAAATTAAATGACTGACGGAGTTTTTCTAACAAAGGTTGATTTCTTTAAGTATGTAGTCAGGTGAAATTAAAAAAAAAATCTAGAATTTAAAATTGGTACTATAAATCAGAAGAGCATTAGTTAAGGAACAAAATAAGCTAAGTTGCTTATAATTGCTTGAACTTTGGTGGATAGTTGTCTCATTGGCACTCATATCACATTTATTATTAAACTCCTTATTTTTATAAAAATATTAATTGGTTATGGAACTCCTTTTCGAGATATTTGATTAAAAAAAATGACGGGAAAAGGCTGACTCGGACTTTTACCTTATATTTAGCATTGGAATTGCTTGGGTCTCAAATTGTAAGAAAAGAAATCTAGAATCTGTTTAAATTTTGGTAATGACCTTTATGAGCTATTGAAGTCTTCCATGAAAATAAAAGTGGATGATATGAGTCAAAATATTTTACCCTGTATCGTAGGAAAAAATCCCAAGGAGTCCGAACATCTGACAAAAATTCCTAAATCTGACATGACTACATCGTTAACATATGAAAAATATGAATACACTGTTCTAGGAACACTTCCATTCATGATAAATAAATAAGACTTTTGCTGAGTATATCACCTTGTTTATTTAGCATAATACCCTACAGGGACCATAACGTATTGTAAGCAACTGTTTTTGCATACAATTGCTTTTATTTTAGTTGGAGAGAGCTATCGCATGTTACATGTTTTACTTTATAAAAGAAAACAGGACACTTCGTTACTTTGTTTAGACAAAAAAAAACCAACAGTGCACTAAAAGAGGTTCAGATCATAAACGTATATGTTTTTACAAAGGGATATTATAAAAATGAATCCAATATACCAAATCAAAGATAATCTTGACAAGGAAAATTGGCATTTAAATTCTTGAGGTTGAACGCCCAAATAAGCTCATATGATATAAAGTCTAAAATTACATAATTAATAAAAGCGGGATTTGGAATAAAATCAAAAGTGTCCATTTAAATAATAGTATGAAATTTATCCAATTGAAGTTTTCAAAACAATTCATGGACGAATAAAATTATATTTTTTTGTACAACATTCATTTACTTTACAGTCATGGCATTTTGTAACCGTCTGTTTTAAGAGATGAAATGTTAAAATCGTTTAAAAATGCTGAGGTGTTCATGTTAATCACTGCACAGATGACCATAACCAGATTTGACACAACTTTATTTTGTAGGTTTTAGTGACACATCGGCTGGGTCAGCGCTGCACATGTATATTTACAATTGAAGAAAAGGCAACAGTTGATTTACCTACTGTTGTTTCAATGTGTTTTCTATGGAAAGGACCAGTTCGCAACATGCCACTATACAAATAAAGGTTCGTTAAACCTGATTTGTCTATTTGGCTTTAACTGGGACATAATCATGCGCTTGTATACATGGTATACAATCGAAAATTAGGTACACTTACGTTAACTTTGTTTTTTGAAATTAGCTTTTAACATGGCCTTCACAACCAAATAAAGTTATATATTGTTTTACATATGCTTAATTGAAGTTAGTATGCATGTTGTAATACGATTGAACTGACGGAACACTCGTGTTCCCTAACGTTTTACACTGACTTGGCCAGTACTCAACATGCCACCATTCTTTTGATGAGAATGTATAAAAAGAGTTACCTTTTATTTTTGGAATGGGCTTGATTGTAACTCAATATATCGTATCATCAATACAATCTGACTTTGTCAGTGGTCTGATGTTCACGCCGTATACATTAAAGAACCTCCACCCCAAAAAAACCCAAAAAACACAATCTAGGTAAAGATCACCCCCATTAGACCTTCAAAATACATACAATTTTAAGTATCTCATCCAATATGAACACAATTATAGTGCCTCAACTTACTAGCGACATGTTGTCGTGGTCAATATATACCACAAAAGCAGGCTGATCAGTTACTTCGGATTCATTATTATGCGTGGGATATTAATTTTCGTGGATCGCGTGGTAATAGGTAAACCAGGAATTCAAATGATCACAAAAATATAATTGTTCCTCATTCAACAAAAATTAGTATCCTCGAAAATAAATGAATTCACGGCATTTTTCTAACTGGCTCTTATTCCCGATTGTGTATTCGCGTGGCTTGATATCGCAGCATGACTGGAACTCTTACTGTGTCGACGCTCTAGAATCGCTCACTAGAGGTTCCCGATTTGCTACGTATCAGATACGGTTGGTACATAACTCAACCGTTAGTGTTGTTTTGGAGGCATCATTTAATGCATGAGATTATTTTCTTAACATAAAAAAATAAAAGAAGCCGAATTGAATATCAGCAAAAACTGCCTTCCTTTTTTTATTTGAAAACGATTTCACCGCTAATAGAACATTCTGTTTGTGAATCTATGAGATTATTTAGTGAATGCATAGGTGCATGAATCAAACAGACCGTGCACGTATTGAGTTGACACGGACTTTAGATTCTAAATATAGATTTGCGATTCTGTTATTTTTAAGTATTGCCTTTGTTTCCTTATGTATAAACAAAATTTGGAATAATCAAAATACTATTTATGAGCGACTTTCTTAAACACATGATACTGATGTTTGTTATATACGTCAACATTTCAAAATTTTGTTGATTTTTCATTAGTTCTTTGACATTAGTCATTATTTTGCAATACATCTATTTCCATCATTAAAGCTGAATATTTGAGTGAGAAAAGGGCAATCTTCATTATTTTTTTAATCAACTGAAGATTTTCCTTCTAGAATTGCATTCACAAAAATAAACTAAAAAAAAATATTGAAAAAGAAATATTTACTATTCTGCTGCCGATGAAAAGAACACCAATGTCTAGAATCGTTGAATTAAAAAAAACAAGATCAATTCTTTGTGGTCTCGTAGAAGCATGTTTGCCTTGAGCGTGGGAGGTCGTGGGTTCAAAACCCCGGCCGGGTCAAACCGATAACTTTAAATTTGGTGTTTGCTTCATCTCCGAAAAGCACGCAGCATTAAGGAATAAGAACAAAAAGTAGTCGGCTCGGAATCAGAATAAGGGTGCCATGTCTTCCTACGGACTGTTGCCTTGTGAA